GTAGCTTCACATATCTGTCCGCTGTTTGGATGTAGTAGATCAAGTACCTCATTCTTTTATAGTGCCTTGTACATAGAAGATGAACTTTGGATTCACCAGAAGTCTGTAGGCAAGTATTTAGTTTTAAAATACTTATTTTCTTCCTAAAAGGAAGAAGGATTAAGTGTTAAGGAAAAATTCTGTGTTCAAGGAACTTGGTGTAGTGGGGTTTTTTTTCAGTTCTTTTGTGTTTCTGTTTTAATTACTCCTGTTGTTGCTGTTACTAATCAGCTTGCTTTGCATCATACTAAACAGCACAGCTGGAGAATTTTCTCACTGATTGAAAGTATCATGTCAGCAGAGAGAGTGGGCACCAGTGGGACTGCAGTGGAAATGAGTACAAAGAGATTTCAATGATCTTACATGAAAGTGACAATTTTTTCTGCATCTGGGGATGCTTGAGGAAGGGAAGAAAGAAACCCAGTGTGGGAGGATTAAAGAAGGAAAGATGCCTCTGGAAAATAAGAGCAAGGAAGAGATGATTTTTATTTACACCTGGATGGTCAGGTGTAAAACTTCCATCATGACCAGAAAAAAAAAAAGAAGGCAGAAATATAGGAATGGATGACAAAGCACTCATTTGAATTTATCCCTGTTACAAGCTATTATAAAACCCATATCAGAATTAAAGTTCCTACTGTTCTAGAAATAGCACCTGCATTTCATAGGCAATAGATTGTACTGAGACAATAGGCCTGCTTAGAACAGGGAGTGACTCAGTCTTAAGGGAACAGCACAGCATACACAGAAAGAGGAAATAGAAAGAAGAGGTAGTATTTAACTAACCTTTTAGATCCTTTGTGCAGCTTTCTGTACAGCTCTTTTTCTTTATTTCTACAGTATCAAATAGTGTTACTTGATAACATCAACTCCTGCCACAGTCCCTCTTTCTTGATAGAAGCATATGGATTGCTGTACAAAGTGAATTTTGATGCATCTCTTGAATCTTGGGTATAAGGAAAAGAACTAAATAAATGACATAAATCAAAACAGAGGTGAAATTTAGGCCAATTTTCTGTGGTTTCTTTTGTACAGAAAGCGTCAGTAGGACTGCCTATAATTCACATTTATTGGCATTTCCTATTTCAGGGTTTTTTTTTCATTTTATTTTAACCTTGCCAGATTTAGACTGTGAATGCTGAACTCTTCTTACCAGCTGCTGGGGCCAGAATGTTTGCTTTTGTTTATAAAATTTTAATATCAGCTCTTTTGCAGCTTCTGAAAATGAAAGGAAGGGGAGGATGGCGAGGAAAAAGTAGAATACAATGCACTGATGGCTTAAGAGGCAAGCTTCAGGCAAAGGAAGGGGTAAAACAACTCTTCCTTATTCTCAGGTGAACTACTTAAACAGGGGAAGGCTGGGTCACGACACTGGGGAGAAACTAGAAAGAAAACCTCAAACAAAAAGAAGTTAGGGTTTGCAACGAGGATTCCTGAAGACCAGATTTGGAGTGGTATTGCAAACAGATGTGGATTGATATGAACATCTGAGACACCCAGTTCAGGATAACCTGAATAGAAAGGATAAGAACAAAGGAACATGTAAGATGAATAAGGTGAGAAAGCTAAATCAAGGACTGGCTTGATCCTGCAGAAGATGGGGCAGCAAGATTAAGGGAAAACTTTTCCCACTAAAATATACCTGCTTTCTAATGCAGAAAAGAAATCAACTAATATTTGTGAGTTATGACCTGAGCTATGAGACTTAAGTTATAAGTGAGATACATAGTTTAATTATAGTGGTGGAAGTAGTGGAGCTGGGTATCAGGGCTGTGCCTAGTGCACACCCAGCAACCTGAAACTATTAATTTCCTGTACAGTCCCCAGCTCATCTCTGTATATCTGACACAATGGACTGGAACGAGAAAATTGGCCACCCTGCTACCAGGTGATTGACTGAACTAGTAGCCACCTTCACAATGAAGCATTTGACTGTCATAAGCTCTCCATCTGGGAATTTTGGATGACTCTGAATATTTTCCCCAGATGACTCTTGCTGTGCCTAAATGCAGCTGATGGGCATGACTTGTGTGCTGATGACTCGCATGGGTTGAGACTCCCTAAGACAGCTCTTGATGCAAAATTGACAGAAGTTAAATTAAAGTGCATATAAGTTAATTAGAAATGGTCAGGAGAAATTGTGTCTGAAGATACACTGATGGTCACGTAGGGTGGAGATGTTTGGTATGTAGTTCAAGACAATGGATAGTAAAGGTCTTAAATTTATGTGAGCAGATATGTAGGGTGTAAAATTAATCAGAAGAGCTCTTCAATGTCTCATCCAATAAAGCTGAAGATGCTAGGTGCTTTTTGTCATTCAGGCAGCAACTGAGTCTACTCTTTAAGAGGTTTGGTCCCCCAAGTTTTCAAAACCCTATGGGAAAATCCCAATAATAGTCTTTTTGTCTTACAAACACTAAGTCTATGATTGTGAAAGAGAATAACTGTAATGATGAATATTCTAGAAATGTAAGAAAATGGATTTTCTTTGCATAAACTCCAAATTTTTTTTTGTGTACCATAAATGAGGACAAATGAGATAGAGTATAAATTCTCATTTGGTAAGCTCTGTCCATCTTGTGAATTGACTAAGGCAGAGGGTCTGTGGGAAATACTAGCAGCTGCATCATAGCATGTATACATGAGAGACCAAATTAAAGCTGCACAAACAATGCTAATGCTGACAGTCTTAAGTATTTGGCACATCTTTAATGTTCTTTTAATGTGCTTCTGTGTGTGTAAAAAAGCACTGGGGGTTGGATGCCACATCAAAAATTTGTTGCTAAAAAGAGATTATGATGTACAAGACAACATTAAGATACAAGACAGACAAAGAGGGGAACAAAAAATTTACACCATTTATACACCAGTGTATAGTATGTCTCTCTCACCTTCTACTACCAACCATTTTGTTCTGATAGAAAGTGTGACACTCAGTATAATCAGTAAACCCCCTAAAATCAAGAAAATGCTTAGCATTTCTATAGTGGCTCAGGCAGTGGCGTTTGATATGCTCGTCTCCATGTATGATACTGTACATCACAGCACATGTTCCCGTAGCAGAGGGATCTTGGGTGATGGAAAGGGAGACTCCTAGTCTGTGTGTGCTTCCTGCTCTCTGAATGGGGCAGAAAGGGGAAGATGCTCTCCTTTTTGGAATCAGTGAGCTATGTAAGATGCAGAGTACAGCAAAGGAAAGGCAGCGGATGAGATGCAGTAGGCAACATGGAAAAGAAGCAAACAAACAAGTCAACAAGCTTGGAGAATGATGCACTGCAGAGCCTGAAGGTATGCTGAGCAAGCAGAGCCAATGAATGCCCAGGCCTTAGCTGGGATAAAGTGACTTTTGCAGGAGTCAAATGGGACTATGCACAACAAATCACAGTAAAAGAGCTGTTCAACAGGAATACAGTGAGCAGAGGGGAATATATCTTTCACCCTCTTTTGACATTTTGGGAGTTTTTGGTGTAATGAAGGATCTAGTTGGACCCTCTTCAAATCCCTGGCCAACTTGTCCTCTTGTCAGAAGCAATGATAAATAAACAAATGTTATTGAGGAAATACTGTGAAACCCATCAACTTCTGTATCAATCTTCACAGTATGATTATTTTTTTTTAATGTCTTTGGTAATTCACCCCTTTTCCTTTTTTTTGGAGGGCGTTATTTAACCATACAGCTTCAGTAGGGAAAAAAATTATTTGCTGGACTTGTAAGTCACAGGCTTATTTGCCAGGAGGAAAAAAAAATCTAAAAACTGCAGAGGAAAGATTACATATATGAGTGATAAAAGAAAGAACAAGCCTATCAGTCTTGCAGGTATTAAACAAATAATGTAACACCCCAGCAATGTAGGATGTTAAGCACCAAGTTCCTCTTTCAGTCCAAATGCTCTCCAGGCTTTGGATGTACAGTTTTGGCCTAGTCAAAAGGTCACCTTTTTATCTTCGTACTTGAAATCATGGAAAACATGAGGAAAGCAAAGGAAATACAAAAAATGGGGCTCAAGACTAAAACACTTCATCAAATAAATAACGTGTCAGACCTTAGTGTCCACTGACTGTGGAGAATGTTAACAGCATTAGCTAGACTAACATGACTTCCACCAGCAGGCAGATTTCTTACAAATATGATCTTTCAGCTCTTTCATTAACCTCATACTCCTACACATGAAATTGAAGCTTAAAGGTCATGTTTAATGCGTTCAGTGTTTTCAGATCATTCAAATTTCAAACCTGAAGATTATTCTTACAGAATGTTTTCCCTGCCCATGGCAGGGGGGTTGGAACTTGATGATCTTAAGGTCCTTTCCAACCCTAACTATTCTATGATTCTATTCTAAGTCTGTTTACTAAATTTCAGCCTTGAATCTTTTCTATTTTAATTATATTTTTATTAGAATATTTCATTTCTGTTGTAAAGTATTTGCATTTTCTTTTTTACTGGCATGATTTCCTATAAGCTTATTGGTTTTTTTTTCAGTCAATAATGCATTTTCTTAATAGATAAAAGAAGCACTTTAAGAAGAAATCCATCAGAGCTAATAACATTGACTTTTTCTGTAACTAATACAGAGATAGTTTTAACTCATGCAAAATTTAAATATATTATTGTTGGTATTTTCTTGTTTACATGTTCTAGCCATTGTTTTCTTCTGCTGTTTCAAATCCTCTCAATGATTTCCAAATGAATGCCTCCCTGATTTTTAGTATTCTGACACTAGAGACTTCAAATATATTTTAGTGCCAAATTCTCATTCAGATGAATGAAAATGATTTCTCCAAACAATAGGAGATATCAAATAAGTACCTAGGAATCCAATTCAGGGAATTTCTGATTTTCAGTTCTGTATTGATTTCATTGAAAAAAATGGTCTGCAGTATTTGTGCAAATTACTTCTAGAACTCTGTGCTTCAGTTTTCTCAGTGAATCTTTGTTGCTTACTTTTTACTTGTCTTTTTAGGCTGACTTAATCACAGCTTTCAGCCTCCTATTGCTTATCTGTATAAGTAAAGGACCAAGATGCTAGTGAGTGTGAGAAGTAGGACTTACTTTCTGCTTTGGAATGATTATCTCTTTGTTTAAATTTGGGTGCTTTTATTTTTTTTTTTAATAATGGATAATCTTCATCTTTCTGGCCTTAAATTTTCCATGGTAAGTGTGTGCATCAGCATGTTTATTTACTCACAATCTTTGTAGCAGGAATACAGAACAATTTAATAAACCCACAAATTTCAAGTAGATGAGCTACAGTTAACTCAGTTTACTGTCTTATAAGAACTTTTGGGAAGCTGACTGAAGGAGAGAAAGTAGTTAAAATAACCTGGAAGCCTTCTACAGTCATACTGACAAGGGCACAAATTCTTTCTGATTATGGAAGAAATACAGAAAAAAGCAATAAGATAATAATTAGGCTGAAGTCAATGATTTAAAAACACCATCTAGGAAGTGGAAACTTGATTGGACATTAAGGATAGGCACAAAAGCATATAAAGGCACACACATAAAAAGCAGCTAATAGAACGATTCACCTAGAAGGGACATCAACTGCAAAAAAAGAAATGGTGTAGAAGGATATTGACATCAATAGGAAAACCAAACCAGAAAAAAATCTCTCCTACTTATTAAAGGAGGATAGCTATAAACAGATGATGTTAAGAAGGCTGAACTGTTTAATGACTTTTTAACATGCAATCAAGTGATTGTCCTACCAATCCACTGACAAAGGGAAACATCTGAGTATGGGACAAATAGTGACCCAGTGGAGAGCCGTGAAGATGCTTAGGGAGCTGGAGTAAAGGATATCTGAATGGGAATTGGTTGTGCTTAACATGGAGAAGAAAATATAAGAGGGAATCTAACTGTAGGATTATAGAGAAGATGGAGTCAGATTCTTCCCAGGAGGCATAGTGAGAGGATAAACCCCAAGGGTCAAGAGAATAAATGCAAGAAATTGTAATTAGACATAAGGAAAAAATAATTCAGTGTAAGATGATGCCCAGAATGGTTGAGGAATCTCTGCCTTTGGATATTTTAAACAACTGTAATGGGAAGGTCATGAGCATTCTGATCTGAATTCTGCTCCCTTGTCCCCTAAGTCTAGGTACTAGATCTCTGGTGATCCCCTCCATCTATAGTTCTGTGGTTTTATGTCCATAAGTCAGGTTTTTCAGACAAGTTAAATTTGAAGACCTTTATTTGAAGACTCTTTAATGCTCCAATATCTGCTGAAATTTTAAACATATTGGTGGTATGATTAGCTATAGACCTAGATCCTAGGAGCCCTAGGGATAAAGTATATGATTTCCTAAACCCCTCAATGTTTCCTTATAATCTGCTGATTACAGTATGTTTCAGAAAAAATCGCACAGTCTTTCTCCAAGTACTTAAAGAGAAGGTGGATATACTGCAAGTCTTCCTGGGAAATTAGACTCAGTCCTACCTGAGGCACTCTGATATTGGTCATGGCCTTTTTTCGCATGTGCTCTGTGTCTTGTTCCTTGTTTTTGTTTGCCTGCCCTTACACAGCTGTGGTGAGTGAAGAAAAGTGCTGAGTGCCCATAGTTGATATAGCAGTCACAGAAGTTACAATTTGAGCAAGAAAAAGTTCTAAATATTCTGAAAATTAGAGTCTAAAAGTTTTATTATTGCACCTGATTTCAGTGATAACCTTAATCATTTGCAGTTCTTAGTATCTGAGTATATTTTAGCTGCGATTATATTGTTACTTTGTCATCCTTTAAAATGTACCTTCTGAAGTCACAATATTGTTTATTGCTATTACTGGGGCATAGAGTATATCATCATGTATAGTTTGAAGAGTGCTGTCTGTTGTGGTGCTCCATGATCCTTCTGAATTGAGTGGCCATGAACAGACAACAGGATGTGGGGCAACCCAGGGGTGCTGTCTGGACATGAAGTCAGCTTTGTCCTTTCTGCTATGTTGGAGTACTTTGCAGAAGAAAAAAAATGAGTTCTTTTTTTGTATTTCCAGCAAGTCTGCACTTCCTCAGCAAGCACTGGGACACTGTTTTGTAGGTTTGACTACATCCAATAGTGTAACTTTTGCTTCTCTCCCACAGGGACCCAAAATGTGATTAACTGATACAGATTTTTTTATCTTCCAAGGACCTTCAGATGAGCATCAAAGTCAGGTCCCCAGTTAGTTATGTAAATAGTACTGCTGCAGTTTGTGTCTCTAATGTACTTATAAGTAACCACTGAAGGAATGAATCCAAGTGAATATAACTTAGGAAACACACAAAGCCCACCTACTGCTCAGACAGAAAGGGTATTGCCTTAGCAATGCCTCAGCATCCTGCTACCCAGAAGGGACTCATTTTAATATAAGGTTGTCATACAAGTCATGCAATCATTTTTTTTTTAATCTGTGATTCACTTCAGTGCTGAGGAGTCTGATTCACCTGTTCAAGGAAACAGAAAAGTTTGCAATGACTTCAAAAGGAATTAGAACAGACACCACCTTGAGATAGCCAGGGGATGGCTTTTCCATTCAAATTCTAGCTGTGCACCTGTAAAGCAAGTGAATGTTGCTCTACTTGTAAGTGACTATGTGACCAAGGCTGGGAACCATGGGAAAAACATGAAAGTGTTTAAACTTTATTGTGGCCATGAAATTCCATACCTTTATATATATCCCTTCGATTTGAAATGCATTTGTTTGATTCTTTCAAGTGACCCTTTTAAAGCTGTGGGGGTTATGTTTTCTTGGTTTTGATTTGAATGATGCATGATCATTGTAAACACATTACTAAAGGTACACAGAAACTGGGATAATATCAGCAGTGTAAACCTATTTCTTTCTGGGGCTTTCTTCTATTCAGAGCTGCCTTTGGTGAATCTAAACATTTTTGTGCTAAGACACTGGCTGATTATGAGAGCCCTTCCTGTCATGGTGCCTGCTGCTCAGGTCTGGAGGAAAGCTGCAGGTCATTAGTTCTAAGTGCTGATACACATGAAATAGTGTAAATAGCAGGTCCAAATGAAGCAATTTAATTTGAATGGAGTCCACAGCTGTATCTCTTTTGATTTCAGTTTTACTGACTTCATGCTTCTTTCTTTCCTGCTGTTATTATCCACTACTTTACATTTGTATATAAACCAGTCCGGACACCACATTTGTATAGACTGCATAGCATTTCACAGCAATTACATTTCTTTTCTTCAGCGACAGAGTAGAGCACTTTCATGAAAAACCTCTCTAGCATGAAAAAAGAGACACTTCTACAGGATGAATCATCATACTCTAAACAGCTTTCTGTAGCAACCACAGGTTAAGTACAGTATAGGTAGGCTGTGACCTACTCCAAATCTGCTGCTAAGCTGCTATTTATCTAGGGGTTAGTGCAAGGCAAGACTGTGTCCCAGACATGATGGAGCTGCTCTGAACTGACTTCAAATTAAATTTGATATAACTGATCTCTCTGAAAATGTGGCTTTGTGTAGGGAAACCACACTTGGACAAATGTGATGAAGTATTACAAATATTGCTCTAAGAAACAAAGTTCTTCATTGCACTCCTGTAGGCCAGAAGTGTGAGGAGGAAGAATGCAGAAAAATGAAAGACTGGTTTTGGGTTTTACAAACCCTGCAGATTCGGCCTTCACCATATGGTCCAGACCCTGAGAAATGGAAGATGGCAATGTCAAACCCGTTGACTAGTGTTTCAGGGTCTGTATTAAAATTAGGGCTTTTTTGCTACCCTTGGTCCTGTTGGAAGTTGAGTTTAGGACTTCAGTACTCAGGTATTCATAAAGTTTCTAATTCCTTCCTAAAAGTGTTAATAATCAATGCAGTTGTGTTGGTTCTTAAGAGACCTTTACCTTCTTACTCTTCTTCCTTTACACCTCTAGACTAGATGCAGATGTAAATCAAATTATTTCTCAGCCTTTATACTGCTAGATTTGAGTAGAAGCCAAAGATTTTGGCTTTGTGTGCTTTTTTATGGCACACTCTGCTTATCCTTTTCTGAACAACTTTCACTTTGAATTCATATTCTTTGAATATTCCATGACTATCAGGGTTCAAACTTTCTATGAGATTTTGGATCAGGCCCCCCATCTCCTGCTTGAATGACATCTTTTCTGTTTAGTTGTGTTTTTTTCCTGTTATTAGGAATACTCTGATGATTCAGTCAAGGAGTCGGTGCCTTTTTTTGCTGGTACTTAACACTGAGGACAACTAGGCATCTAATGATTAAATCAAAGCACTTTCCATCCCTATCTACAGTTTACTATTTTATAGATTACCTGCGCTGTGGAACTATTGTGCATGATGCTGAGCTTGTTAAGTGTTAGGTAATGAGTAGTTCAGATTTTGGGTTGAGTTCCATCTAGCTGTGCTGAAGATTGCCACATACATAGTTTAACTCAACACAAATTATGAACTAACAGTTTACCTTCTTCACAAAAGGAAAAAGACTATCTTTAAGCCATAATAAATTTTGTTTGTCACTTGGACTCTAAATCACAACATCCTTTTATAAAGCATTAACTTAATCTTTATAACCTAGTAATTTGAACAATTATGCTTCCCAAGGGCAAGATTCAGCCGTTTGAATTTACTTTGTGCTTGAAAGGACAGGTTATATGATGCTGAGAACAGTGAAAATGTTATTGTTCAGAATGTAATGAGATTAAGTCCACAGGTCTGAGCTTCATTGTCCCATTTCTCCAGTCATTCACATTAATGACAGACAAGAGCAAAATGTGAATCAACAGCAGTGGTAGTGTGCTTTTCCTTTCACTTTGAACTTCAGTTGCAGGTGCATTACAAGGTAGAATGGTGGCTGTACTCACCATACACATCTGCATGTATGCATTTGTGTTCATACCCATATGTATATTAATTTAAAGTTTACATGAGACATGGGGTTCTATGCAGATGATGAGATAGGAGTTTTCCCCATTTTATTTCACCTTCAAATGAAGTACACTGTTCCCAAGGCTTGTCTCTTGAGCCTTGTCACCTCTACTAGGTGATGTTTGCCCTGGTTACTTTCTGCTAAA